ACAGCATTACCATGACTAAATAAAATATAATATTTTGGATTTGGTGTACAATTAACATAAATACAAGCAATACGATTATGACGAGATGTTGTTACAAAATATGGTTCTAATTTGGAAATTTCATTTGTTGAATGTTGCCACTCAGCTTTATCGGAAAAGAATATTGTATATCGAGGAGATGTAGATGAATCAGTTAGTACAGGTTTTGATGATGTTCCTCCTGTTTGATTATGTATACCATTAGCTGATGTATTAGAATTATCAGTAACTAATAATGAATATGTTGGTTCAGGCGGAAGAAAAGCTAAAAAAACAAAAATCATAAATAAAAATTTCTATTTTATATTAGGTTTTTTTACCGAGTTTTGCAGCTATACGGGATGGTAAAGGTGGACAACAAAAAAGACAACAAAGATCACGTATTGATAATGTATTCATCGTTCGATCATCTGAAACAAAGAGAAAATCATAGTTGGATTCTTTTTTTTTTGTGTTTTTTTTGTTATCTTGGTATGTCAATAAATTTTTTATGACTTACTAACGTGCCATAATGTTATCAAAAGTAAATATATATATATATATTTGTTGATGAGTAGGAAATTATTAGGTACTCGATCGAATCTAATCAATAAAATTTAATCAACGATGCGATGCAAACAATAGTAATCGTCTATTTATATCGAAGAAAAAAGATGACATTTTTTTTCTTCTTCTCCTTCTTCTTTCATCACCCTAATTCTATTTGATAGATGTCAAAGAAGATTTTATTGAATGAGTATTTCTTTTTTCTTCTTGAATCATTCATTTGTTACTATTCGTGTGGATATAACAAAAAAATAAAAATTGAATAAAACAAGTTATTAAATATATTGTTTTTTTTTCTTCTAAAAGCTTAATTATCAAGTGTACTAGGATAGACAATTTTTTCTGAGCATATGCCGATTTTACTAATGTTTATTAACATATAGAAAAGAAAGAAAAAAGATTTCTATTACGGAAAGACCTATATACATATAAACATATGGAAATGTTAAGCTACTAGCTGAGAACCGATTATAAATGTGTAAAAAAAGAAAAAAAGATGCTCTTGCTCGGCTTCTCTATTGTATTTTTATCATTTATAGTTCGAGAAAGATGATAATGTGACAAAATCGATCAATTCTATTTTTCTATTCTCCTGAGAAACACATCATTAATCAGTATATAGAAATTTTGACCTTCACTTTGTCTTAGAATATATAATAACCAAAATGATGAAAATTACAGACAAGAAAACAGCAAAAGAAAAATTTATATTGACATACTCTTAGTGTTTTTTTTTGTTCAAATGAACAGCCGATCATAGAGGACAGAAAAAAAAGACACACACACACTCATAATCACATACATTTAGATTATCATAAATTGTTATTATTTCAAAGAAAATAATCGGGTACAACACGTTTTGTTGCTGCTGAACGTTGATCTTGTGGTGCAGCTTCAAATATTGTAAAACTACGATTAAGATGTTCATCAAGTTCAAGTATAGCAGCAACATTTCCACAACGATAACAATAATTTGGTGCTGACCATACAGTTAAAACTGTTTCATTAAAATGCCATTTATAACCTTCCATAACAAGTTGATGTGCCCGACAAATTAAATCAATATTATTTGTTTGATTAAATTGTGATACAACATCACTACCAAATAAAAATCCAGCACCACGTGGACTAACACCCCAGCCAAGTGTTTCTTCAGGATCAGACCTACAAAAAAAATGATTATCCGGTTTTTTTTTTTGTTTTTTTTTGAATATTTTCTTTTTTTACCATAAAAGATCACACATAGGACCATCATGTGGTACTTCCATTTTCCTATCAATTTGTCGTATTTGATCAAGTGTATTTATAGATGGACTAAGACCACCATGTACACAAAATATTTTTCCATCAATAACAGCTGATAAACTTAAATAATCAAATACTTCAGTACAATATCGCCATACCATAATAGAACCATATTTTCTTAAACATTCATCATAAAAACCATAAACTTGTGTAATCTGACGGGATTCATGATTACCACGTATTAAAGTTATGCGATCAGGATATCGTACTTTAAGTGCAAGTAATAATAAAAATGTTTCAACACTATAGAAACCACGATCAACAAAATCTCCCAAAAATAAATAATTCGTTTGTGGAACATCACCTAAAATCATATGAAATGATAAATTCAAATTTTAAAAAACAGGAATTATTTTTCTGAATAAATTCTTTTTCTAACATAGACATATGTAAAAATTGTTGACTCTTTCAACTGAATATTAATTGAAGCTAGTTAATCAGATCAGAATGGAAAACACATATGCGCTTCAATTTTGATTCAACTAGTAACTGATTTTAGCATATCTCTTTTGATGGCTTAAATCGAAAGTTTTCCCTAGGAAGATAGTAAGTGAATGAAAATTTCTATTACGAGGCTAAAGTTGTTTTTTAATAGGAGCAAATGTCGTTCATTCTGAAGGCTTATTCTTCTTTAGTTACATAGCGATTAGGTCATTAGTCTCTTATGATACGTTGATGACATATACAACTTACCATCTGAAATACATTCTGAAACTATCATCCATCTTCTTCCTTCCTGAAATTAGATCCATTAATTCTATATTGTTTCTTCAGATCTTCGATTAATGATGACATCTACTATCAATTTCTCTTATGTAGTATCCTTATTATGAGTTCTCTTTCTTCTAGTACATACTAGTTCTACTCATCATCCATTTATACATATATATATTTCTTCCCATAAGTAAATCCGTTCTCAATTAATAAGTAATTAGCAAATATCTTTCTAACTATATGAGAAAAAAATTCGAAAACTTCAGAATAGATTCTACAGCATGATAGGGAAATTTTCAGCAAGATTGAACTCCAAAAAATTCCTTCTTAAAAATCGATTTTCTAGAAATCTTTGGAATAAAACTATTTGTTTCATCATCATGTAGAGATTCTAAGTTTGCAATGGGTTTTGAACTTCTTACTTGTACTCCATCACGTCGCTAATGACAAGTAAATCGACATGCAAAGAAAAAAAAACCTTGTATAGAAATTTTATAGCTTCGGGGATTGTCTACAGAATGTATTATTTTGTTTTCAAAAATGCTGTCTCACTGTGAAATTGTTTAAACTAACATGCATGAAGTGGAAGTCGATGTCCTTCAATGTTAGGTTTTTTTTTGCTAATAACTCTTCTAAAAAAAGGTCTCTATTACTGATTTTTTTTTTCAGGGTATCTAGAGTACTTTAACATAGATGTAATATATAAAAATAAGTTCTAGAAACATTCGTTATGTTTTAATTTTGCAAATTCATATCGCTAATGAAGAATTTTTCCTTTATATACTCGAACACATGTGAAGTTTATTTACTTAGAAAGTAAATTATGCATAAGAGAATAAAGAAGCGATGTTTTTTTTCTATTGGATAAAAATTGTTGCCTTACTTTTTACTATACTAAAAAAAACCTAATCAGTTTATATTAATTATTTGTATTAGAACTTATCAAATCCTTCTGAAAGATGATTAAATTTGTATTTTTTTTCTTTTTTTTGATTCTTTATAAGATCAATTAACAAAACAAAAGATAATATCCTATTATCAAAGAATATAAATTTTTTAATTATAAAACATCTTGAATTTGTTTTTCAATCTCAAATAAAGGAAAACGGATTATATAAGAATTTATAAATATAAGTTATTCTTATATAATTAGAGAAAAGAAGTTCATAAATAGCACATTTCTGTCATTTTGATGACAACTAGACAAAAAGATTTACAATGTTTTTTTTTCTAGAAACAAGAATCATTAATAATATCAAGAAAGTTTTGTGTTGAAAACTAAATTAAATCATAAGAAACATCTCTTATAAGATTAATATTGTCGAACGTAATGAAACATGTCGAATAATTGATAACAACAACAACAAAAAAAACAAAAGAATCAATAAACTATTTCGAGAAGCAATTCTTCAGAAAATCTATTTCACGGTTAAGAAATCTTACTTAAAAATGTATTGGAAAAAAAAATAAAAGAACGTTCTGAACTAATTCTATTAGAGAAAATAATAGAATTGATACTTAAGTACTAAGATTGGGAAGCACATTTTTATCTTCGTTTACAATTTCATTGGAAATATAATCCGATTTATATCTAACGAGGGAGTCTCTTCAGATATCAAATTGCATTTCGACTGAGATGATGTTCATGTAATGAGTAATAGAATAGTTTGGTTTTTCGAGCCTTCGCATTCATCAAATATCGATTTTTTTTCAACAAAAATCTATGATCATGTAAAAAATTGACTTTCGACTTCATACTTTGCATGAACAAAGTTTCATAATAATTTTCTCGACATTTTTGTTTTTATTCGTTTACCTCCAACCCGAAACAATTCAAGTAGATCGAACATTTGTCCATGTATATCACCGCAAATAGTAACAGGTGAATCAACACATTGAACATTACTTTCTTCTACCAATATTTCTCTTGCTTTTGTACAAAGCATTTTAACTTCATGTTCTTTAATTAATTCACATCGTCGTAATTGTTCTAATTGTCGATCAAGATCGGAAAGATCGGACATAATTATTATTATTAATATTGGAGAAATGAAGAAGAAGAAAGAGAATGTTAATATCGATCTAAAATAAAAAGAAATTTACTCGGTTTGATCAAAATAATATTCTTGTCACTTTTTTTTTGTTTCTTTAACAACAACAACAACAGAATACAAGATTAATATTGATTATAATAATAATAACTCAATATGCAAAAGCAAAAAAAAAGACATCTCATCCTATTGCTGAGAATATTTTTCAAAGAAGAATGCAAAGCAAAAGAAAAAAATATATATATATATGAGAATCCGTTTGTACAAAGTAATATGAAAAAAATGTATTAAGAGAATTTAAAATGGACAAAAACAAAAATATTTGTATTTCATTCTGAATATTTTTTAAAATTGTTCAATTATAGAAGAATCTGGCAATTCAACAGGTATAGAATAATTATTATGATTATTAACTGTTATATGACTTGTTGTTGTAATTGCACCATTTGGTAGCATTGGTTGATCTTGTAATATAACTTGTACAACAAAATTTCGTTGTAAACGAGTTTCACATATAGCTGTACGATCATCTGAAAAAGTAAAAACAAAGTTTACCAATCAATATTCATGTACAATTCAAGGATAGACGTAGGCGAATAGAAGACCTATTCATATCGTTAAGATATTATCAATGTGAAATCGAACAATCAACCATCAAAGCAAAAAGAAAATGAACAAGTACAAAATTTGGTTGAAAATTCATATTATTGATACTAATGATTAATTAAAGCATTTCGATTATTTACTGTCCTTGTAAATTCTCTTTCTATTGTTGGTGTTTTTTTCAACAAGTATGTCCGGCTTACATAAATAGAACGAATCGGAGATTATTATAAATAACATTATATAATCTCGGGATCATCAAGAATAGAGACCGTCGGGTCCATGGATTTTTGGACCCAGATCCGATTATTTAAAAATTTTATAGTCGAACCCGGTCGCTTAAATTTTTTTGATCCAAACATAATACTAAATCGATTTAGATAGTACAGTCAAGAAGGATTTTGTTATTTTTTAATCTATTTTCTAAATAAATTGGATAATATTATGCGCATCAAAGTTTCCTTCAGACTCGAACCCGACGAGCTCTAGTCAAGAATTACTTGTATAATTAATAAAAATAAACTTACGTAATAATTTTCCTCCAAAAAATAAACGTTGTGTTTGAGAATCAAAAGCTCCATTTTCTAACATAGCTAAACGTCTTTTAATATTTCGAATTTTTTCATTTGGTTTACAATATAATCGATGTTCATTACCATTTGATAAACGAAATTTAATTGGTATTTCAATATTTGATTGTTGATCATTAATTAATACAGGTGATGGTGTTGTATTATTCGATAATGATTCATTATCATTTAAATCAATATTTGTTTTTTGTTTTCGACGATGTTTTTTTATTTCACGTACTATGGGATTATGAATATTATCTGTTGATGATTTTATTATTTGATATTGTTGATTAATTATTGATGAATTATGATTATCCTTATAATCACGTTCACGATCAATAATAGCTGTTGCTGTTAGATCAATATCACTTGTTATAGATTCATTATCATGATTTGATATTGGTTCATTATCAATTAAATTTGTTGGTGATGATAAAATATATACAGGTAATTGATAACGTGTACCAAGTTCATCATAACAATCAAGAAGTGTTCCACGAGGAAGTGATATATTAGCACAATTAATTATTGATTGAGCTAAATCAATATCATTTTGTTCAACAGCATAACATGCACCACGAAGTGCATCCCAAATTTCTTTACGACCTTCAAAAGCAGGAGCTAAAATAATCAGAAGAGTTTTGTCTGTTAAATGTCAATATACAGGTAATTGATAACGTGTACTTAAGATTTACAGGTCATTTTTTCTCGAGTTATTCAAAACAATAGACAATTCGATATTAGTATCTGAGATATACATTTACAATTTTGAACTTGAAAATTTATTTTCAAGACGATCTCAAGGACATCATGACATGTTGTTAAACAACCATCTATGGACATGAATTTGTTTTGAGGCTTGTTTTAATCTCAATAAAGCCCATCTAATGAGGTCAAAGTGTCATTTCAACACTTAGTGAGATTCACTCGAGAATAATCACCTTCATTATCTTTGTTTAACCTTATAGAAGAAAAAAAAAGAACACCGCACATGTTACCTTCAGCGAATATAATAATTAAAAACATCAAACGTTAAAAATATTTTCTAGAACTTTTACCTATAAGTGTTTCTATGTTTACAGTGGACTATCATGTACTACTAATATTAATATCGAAGTATATTAAAATTTATAATTAAATCCCAAAAGAAAAAAGATACTGAATTGAAACATATGAATATGTAATTTAACAATCTAACATATGGAATTTATATACAATAGATTATCTATAAAAAAAAATTGTCAAATATTTTCTAAGATATATATTATTTTAAGATATTACAAAAATTTGATATTTGCTAATCTCTGTTTGAGAACATAAGACACCTGTAATGTAATCCTATATAATGTATTGATAGAATTGTAAAATGACATCAGAAAATAGATTTATCTTTTGTTAAAATCTCTACCTGTATCCCAATATTCTTCTCGTTTACGACGTAATTGATTTTCAGTAATTGGTACATCTGATTTCCATTTCGGATGACAAGTTGAACGGTTTAATGGTTTATTTCGAGCAACAGTTCCACTAGCTGAATAAAGAAAAAAAAAACAAAAACCTAATTAAAAAAAAAATTAATCATGATTTATATTTACTTGTTGCACTACTTCGTGATGAATGTGATCGTCGTCGATGGTTGTCCCTATCGTGACTTACACATCCACCCATTTCTTTGAAAATATTTATAAAACTAAAACACAAGATTTGTTTTATATACATACATATATATCTATTATTTACTATTCGTAAGTACGCTGCAAGTTGGTATTTAAAAGACCAACAGATGTCACAATCAAATAATTAATGATATCATAAAATCATCTGTTAAATTTATCTAAAAAAAACAGAAGAATTTTATTGAAACACCATATGACAACTACCATTTCTGAACTAACATAACCTCGATAAGGCAAGCAAATACTATCGATAGATGTCAGTGATAAGAAGTCATAGAATTAAGAAAAACAAAGTTTAACAATTGAAAATAGATTAATAATTAGATTTGTATTCATAATTGCAGCTCAATGATTTACAAGAGAATCTCTTCAATGTCAATGATTGTTTGTTTTTTTGTTGTCTATAAATATTACATAGTAAGAAAATTCTGAAACACATCATTTCATTTTGTATTTTATAATTTTATTATTATCCAAGTTCACATGTCTTTTACTTATTTTCAAAATGAAATAATACATATTTCATTTTCTCTATAAATGTAAACTGTTTCTAACTTTATTTGAATTCCATCACTACCTACCGATGGAGATCGTTTTCTTGTAGCAAGGAACATAACTATATGTATTGAATATTTGTGTATGATTTAAATATGAAATTTCTTGACTGGAAAACTAAAAATCCGCCAATGAAGAGTGAAGATAATTTATTCTTTGTATTGGATCTTTTGCTAATAAGTGAATAATTCATTCAGTTATAAATTCATGAACAACTGAGATGAAGAAAACGAAATAATAGTGGCCAAGTTTATTGAGTCAGATTGATATTGAACTACAGATAACGAATTATTTGACGACCTTCTATCGATCGTAAATCGAAGCAAAACCAAATCATTTGTTATTATTATTATTATTACAATAGATTAAGCTACGTGGTTATTTTATATATCGATTCATTGTTATTTGTTTTATCGAATCCCAATGGTTATGGTGTTTAACCACTTACAGAATAGAAAAAAAATTATTTCTTACCTGTTTCATTCGAGTAGGCGAGAAAGACATCTATTTCGGAATGATTATGTTATTCTTAATAAACAAATATATCTGTAAAAGACGTTTGTCTCATGAAGTATTGGAAAAGACATCTATATCTTGGGAGCGATTAAAAATTCTCAGAATATTAGAAGTGGTGCCTGGGGAGAAAGAAAGAAGAACGAAATCTAATATGATCCAGTCCCGACCACAACAAGTTTGACTAGGATTTGCTTCTTAAGAAAAAAGAGATTGGTCATTGCCAAAAAAAATCTAATTTTCTAGTGAGTGCATATCCTAAGCTGACAAGAACATCTGAAAATGTGTTTAAACGCTTGAATGTTTTTACATTTATTGAGAAAATATCAAAACCAGAAATTTTCATCATTAAAAAAAAAAGTGTCTGAAGGCTCTTTAAAAAATTGCAATTTTTTAATGCGTTTTGCACATTAATATGAATTTTTTCATGCGTTCCTATATATCAAAAATATTGCGAGAAATTTTTTTGACGTTTTCCAGATGTAAAAGTTGTCTTTCTTAGTTTCTTCATGCGTTTTTTTTTTCATGATGAAAATAGCTAATTGTAATATTTTCTGAATGTTAAACATCGACTCGACCAACACTGGAGGTTTCAAATATGACATATATGCTCTATTTCATGCCGAAAAACGTAATCAATAATCACATCTTTAGTTGAGACTAATATGATATTAGTATATTCTTATCTGATGTGCAGACTTTTCAAAGATGTTCATTTCGTATAATGTAAGTTGCATCATAAGTTAATTTATAATATGTATCAAAAGTCAGTTATGAAATAAAACTGCAATAATTCTTCAACGATTTCCATGAGCTTTTCATCATTTCATAGAATATTCTCGGAAGTTTTATTTCA